TCTGGTCTCTATCACAAAATATTATTTAATACCTTACTACCCCACCTCACTACACTCTTCAACTCACTCTTACTAGGAAGAGAACTCCCCTCCTCCTCTGGCTCCCTAAAAGAGATAGAGACATTCCCAGCCTTAACCACATCCTTCCAAATATGGGATAGAGTAACCTCACGACACCCAATAATAAATGTACTATCTTCACTCACAACAGTTTTGAGAAATAAACAATTTCTCCCAGGCATGACACCCCAAGACGTTGCGCACTTTGAAGACGGGCTACTGAGACTCTTCCACTTCTTTCATAATCAACTACTCTTACCATTCGCAGACCTACCAAGAAAAGTACCACTAACTACCTTCGACCATTTCCGATATGTACAATTACACAGTTTCCTCAACGAACCAAACATAACGGCTACAGCCACAACAACACTCACACACTTTGAAAAGGAATGCACACACGCACCCATACAAAAAGGGCAAATTTTCACAATCTACTCTCTCCTGAATTCAACCTCCCCAGAAGACGCCTGCCCGTATACAGCAGCCTGGGAAAGAGACATAGGTCCACCAGACAACCCCTCTGATTGGGCGGACGTCTGGGAGGCCACAGCATCACAACATGCGTTAACCAAAAGGAACATGCATACAAAACGATGCTCTGGTGGTACCTCACACCTCACAGGCTGAAACAAATGTGGCGCTCAGACACGATGTCTGCTGGAAGGAATGTGGCATAAAAGGCACATATATTCACTATAGTGGGAATGACCATCGATCTGCCAGCTATGGCTAACCTCATCTCCAATATACTCCAAACAGACGTGCCAATGGACCCCTTTGGCAGGTCCATACTCCAAACCCCAAAACACTCTTACCAGAACAGAACAAACTGGTAGCAAAGCTTGCACTCGCTGCCAGATGCACGATTGCAGAACAATGAGATAACCACAACAAACCCTCCCTCTCAGTGGCAATCCAAAAGACAGATGAGGCTATTGAAATGGAAAAGCTATCCGCCATGCTACACGACACAACAAAACAATTTGGGACCCCTGGATCCTGGAACGCCAGGGCCACCCATAGGGTAGGCGGGTCGGGGAAATCCTCCAACCTTTCATCTCCTCTTTCCTTCTCACTCTATTTATTTATTTTTTCCAAGTATATGCTTACATAAGCTTATAGGGATTTGCTAGGCTGCCTTGAAGCAGCAGTTTAGTATCTATGGCCTGCCTGTGGGCTACATAGTAAGCCCAGGGTTTTCTAGGATATTGTCTCCTTTCCTCTAAAGTTACTAATTTCAGAGGGGGCTTTTTTGATTTAAGGTACTGCTGTCATATATCGCCGTGGATTTTATGTATCTTTTAGTCTCATACTAGGGGATATATCACTTTTGGATTTCCCCTATAGTTTATATTGCCAAACGAGACATATAGCCTCCCAGAGAGTCGGTACAGCAGGGTCGGCTACATAGCTCCACACCCGTTTGTGCTAATAGGGATTTGCTAGGCTGCCTTGAAGCAGCAGTTTAGTATCTATGGCCTGCCTGTGGGCTAGATAGTAAGCCCAGGGTTTTCTAGGATATTGTCTCCTTTCCTCTAAAGTTACTAATTTCGGAGGGGGCCTTTTTTTGATTTAAGGTACTGCTGTTATATACCGCTGTGGATTTTATGTATCTTTTAGTCTCACACTAGGGGATATATATTGGATTTCCCCTATAGTTTATATTGTCAAACGAGACATATAGCCTCCCAGAGAGTCTGTACAGCAGGGTCGGCTACATAGCTCTATACCCGTTTGTGCTTCTTCGTGAATTTATTTTCCACCAGTGAGCTATCTTGGTATACTCTATTGAGACACTATTTATAATGACCACAGTTTAACTCCAGTACCATATCGGCATTTCTACTATCGCTAGGTACCACGATCCCAGCTATATATATCACTTACTGATTTTACAGTTTTTGCGCTACTTAGTTTATTTAATTTTCATCTTTTGTTCGGAGCAGTCTGTATTTATGTTCCGTTTCTCTTATATATTGGTCCACATATCGGATGTCCCTATAGTCTTACTTGGTCCTCTTTAGAGGCCTTACTACTATTTATTTTAGCGGACTCTATATGTATGTGCACATACAATTTATATATCCTTTTCTATGAGATTAAGGAACATATCCGCAGGTTTTTAATTCCTCACCTTTATGTGATTTTCACTAACACAACTTTCTATGGTGTTTCTATCCAGGGTAAGCTTTATACCTATTATATATATTTTCTTTGCTTAATTTTAGTTCAATAAAGGTTATTACCATTTTCTTTGTTATGTTTACTTTAGGAGGTAATCTTCTAGAGTGAGATTGAATCCCATTTACTTTTGAGTGAGTGTTTTTTTCTATCTCACTCTTTCAGTTGGTAGTTATTTACTTGTTGTGGGGTTAAGCCCCCCGTGTTACCTCTTGTAACCTACCTTGGGGGTTCTGATGTTGGCTAGTCCAACATCACCACTCCTATCTCATATCTATTATATATATGTGTGTGTATTTTGAGGAAAGTGCACTCACAGTACTTTCTAGATAAATATTTAAACTTTTATTGTGCAGGTAAATACACCAAAATCATGTTGATGTTTTAGTCCAATGTAGGACTTTTTTCAAAATATACATATAAATTTAATTTGGGCATTGCTGATTATTTTATTTTACATTTCCCAGCAGTAGGGGGACTGCCTGACAGCGCATGCAGTCCCCTTGCAGGCACTGCTCTGAGAGCGATCACACGGCCCCTGGGGGCCTAATTTGCTGAGGGGGTCTGCCTGGACTGTCAGGCAGTCCCCCAGAAGTGTATCACATGGAGGCAAGTACAAGAAACCTCCAGCAGCTGAAAGCCGTTACTGTGTTCCATGCCATCACAACGGCATTAAAGCCCATTAGCATGGGGACGGCATGGAAATCTGTAACGGTGAGAAGGGGTTACTGTTCTCCAAAAAGGGACACTATAGTGCTAAGAAAACAAAGTGTCTATACCGTCCATTTAACTGAAACTGTTTCTTTTGTATCCATACGTGTCTGTATTTCCTCTATTGTACTGACATATGGAATATGTTGGCGCTATATAAAGACCGAATAATAATGTAAAAGTTAAAAACTATGGGTTTCTTATTGCAGTCCATACTTTATCATGTCCAGTTTTTCAGGAAGTAATAAACTTGTTGGTTTTTTAAATATTTATTGTACAGGTTGAGATGTGATGGATGGTTTATTACCTTGGGTAGAAGAAGGAGTACTAGATGTGTTGAAAAAGCTTTTATCCACTGCAATACAAAGTCAATAAAATATGCTGTATAAATTCTAAACACTAATACATATTTTAGCAGAGAGTACATAGAGTAGACATGTGCCATGTAGTTCTTTTCGAATGTACACTCGTACGAATTTCATGCCACTCGGACAAGAGAGAAGGAGGGACAAGTATGTGAATGATGACAGGAATCTTGACCAATAAGCTAATTCCTTTTGTGCAATGTAATGCTTGATTGCCCAATCCTGTTTCACTATTCCCTGTCCAGTGAATTGAGAAATACATGTGCAATTTGTTTTGTTCTGAATGTACATTCGTACATATTTCATGCCTTTCAGATGCTTACGAATGCTCGAAGTGATCAAGTTCAGAAATGATGAAGTTCGGCAGTTCCAAGTGCCGAATCGAACTGAATGCCATTGGTCCGAATTGTCGAAGCAGACACATTTTTTTACTTACCCGAATATCTGAACCGAAACAAATTTTTTGCCCATGCACATCCCTAACATAGAGTTTTGCTATTTTGGCCTTAAATGTTAATTCTCACTTTGAATTCCCAGTAACTATCAGTATTGTGAATACCCCTGTTACTGAAATAGGTTAATTGGCTTCTACATGTAGTTTGCCAGCGTTTGTGCTTGTCTTGACATGCATATTGCTACTCAAGGATGGGGATAATGGGAGAAAGCACCTAAACTGGGATAGTAAGCGATGTTTACAATAAAACAAACCAAGAAAAACATTAGAAAGATTTATAAATGTGTGAAACAAAGAAACATGGTAGGTTAAGTGTGGTGAGTGGTGGAGCAAATGGGCAAGTGTCTAGGGGCAATATTATATCACATTCATTTACCACAAGAAGCAACCCTAAAAACATTGCTCTAGCCTAGTCCTTAGAAATGTAATCAAACACCTGCACAGTGGTGATTTCAAATTGTAATGAGGTAAATTAAGTCCAGGAATGCTTTCATATTGTATCACCTATACTAATTATTTTACACATTATAAATCTAAATTCTTTTTTAGACCTTTGCTGATCAGACACTCAAACATTTCTCATCGGTGATTCCCATCCTGGTGTCAATGTCATGCTTTGGAGCATTGAACGGAGGAATCTTTGCCTCTTCAAGGTAACATAATAAAGATGCTTTGTCTCCTGAAAAACAATTTTTTTTTTCTTTGACAAATATCTGTTTTAAAATTAATCTGTAGTAGTGTCACTTATCTTCGGTGTATATATGTCTACAGTTTTTTGCAAATCCTTTATTAAATCCAACTAATTACAAATATTCTGCCTCACTTTCTACCTCAAAATAAAGATGATGAAACACAATGTCAGAATACAAAATAGTGGAAAACTAAGAAATGCTTTACACAAAAAGTGATGCAAAAGAAATAAAGTAAAAGTCGCAAAAGTATTGGTGAAAAAGAAAAAGTGATGTTTACAAATGAAATATTACAGGAACAGCCTCTTTGCAACAAAACTTTACCATTAAGCTGTAGTGGTTATGGTAGTCAGAGTATCCCTTTAAAGGAAAGTGTTCTGTAGCAGTTATGGTGCAGCGAGTTCAATGGCAACCATCTAAAACTCTAAAAATCATATATTTGTATTTGATAGCTGTAATATATATATATATATATATATATATATGTCTGCTTTTAATGTATTGTGTTTAAATCTATCAGTGTATGTAGCTGTGTAAATACATGTAGGGTTAAAGATAATGTTAGAAGTGGGTAGGTTAAAGGGTTTAGTGTACCTATAATCTTAATTTTAGTAATGACAGGAGGCGAATATTTAGCATAACTCTTTACTGTAAAATCCAGCAGCAAAGATTATAACAGAAACAACTAATCAGAAAAACGAATCCAACTCTATAAAAAGCCCTGCCAGTCTGATCACTTTCTCTTTCTTTGTAGCAAACACATAAACCAAAGTATAGTATATTTGTGTACGGGGTAATTAGAGAACGTACAATTAAAAGTATGTAGTTCGATAAGGACAAAAGTCGGTTGAGGTGTGCCGAAACCAACAAGAGGTTAGGCCTGCAAAAAGAGGGCAAAAATATAAAACAATATTAATTCTCACAAATTAGCAATTGTTTAGTTACCTTATCGAAAAAGAAGTCTGATTTCCTCCTGGGTTTGGAGTGTTCCTATTGTGATCCAATGTCCCATAATTCTAATTATGTTTGACGTAACCTGTCCATTAGAGGTTGTTGTTGTTGTAAATATACAGGTTTATGAAGAACTCCAGAGTGGCCTTTATTCCAGGGGGTGCAATTCCCTTTTAAAGCAGAAATATGTCATGTACAGAGTCACAGTTAACATACAGTATACATTCATCAATTGGTTAACAGTCTAAGGGGTCTTGTCTAAACCCACCCTACTGGGCGTGACCCCAGCATCATCACATGACATTTCTTTGTATCCCAGCCCTATTTTACTACACGTGGCATGTTTCTATAGAGCTTTAGTTGCACAAAGGAAGTGGGGGAGGAGTTAGTAAAGGAAGCTGTTCCTTTAACACAGGAATTTGTTACACAAGGCTTGCTCGATGGGAAGGGGGGATGGGAGGAATTTGCAGAGGAAATAGTTATTAATTCTCACAAATTAGCAATTGTTTAGTTACCCTATCGAAAAGGAAGTCTGATTTCCCCCTGGGTTAAGAGTGTTCCTATTGTGATCCAACGTCCCATAAGTCTAATTATGTTTGACGTAACCTGCCCATTAGAGGCTGTTGAAGTTGTATTGACATTGAATGAGTGGCCCGAGTAGGGGGAAGGATTAAGGACGGGGTGGTGTAATAAAGTAACAAATATAGTTATTAGAGAAAGTAAGCGGTATTTAGGAACCTGGCTAACCTGGACTTTGACTCCGATTATAAAGTTGAACCGGGCACAATTTAAATATACCCGATTGATATATATTTAGTATGAGGAGTAGATATAACGTAATGATTGTTGATTTCCTGAATTCTTGACACATGACTGAAGGTTGAATGTTTTCCGACAGTAAGACTATCTTTTAGGCCTCAAGAAATAGTGGAAAGGCAAGTAAGCTGCTGACTTAATTACTATGTTAGTAGGGTTATTAAATGGACGTTGATGGTTAATTTGAACACTCCCCTTAAGATTTACTGTCGATAGGGAATGAATTGGATGATTTGCAGAGTTTTGATCTCTGACACCTGTCCGCACACTTTTACTAAATAAGAAACCAAATGGGAACTGTTGGGTATATTGTTTACATGTAAAGTTAAACTCCTGTAAGTATAGTTTCAATTGTATTGTAGGCTAGTTTCAAAGAGATGTGGCAAAAATTTGTGCAAGCAACCATTTACAATTGGAACGCATTTATTATATTGAAATCATACACCATTTTACACATATCGTAAGCGCTAGAGTAAGTTCCTTAGTATTGGTGGACAAATTTACCTGCGTAATTGATCACTAACTTAATGCAAGTTTAGATCTTTTGAACTGTAGAGGATCTCTGTGCTGAATGTACTTTAAGCTCAACCGTTACCTTTAAGCAAGGCCAGACTTCAGGAGTTTAGGAGTGGCCAGGGCGGGGAATACGGCAGGGGACCTGGGATGACAGGGTTAGCGTGTCTATTAAATATAGAATGTCAACTGGAGCTATTCTTGTAGCCTCCTGTACAGAAGGAAGGAGAGAGGAGAATTTATATATATATATATATATATATATATAAATGGAGATCTTGACACTCACCCTTACTGTTTGCACAAAATTCAATCTTGCCTGGGTGCAATCCTCAGCGTTTGGCATATAACAAAAATCAATATATAAGGAGCACTCACAGGTCTTCATCCAAACTCTAATTTATTCCTTAGAGCAAATTACATGTGCAAATCTTTGAGCAATCGACGTTTCGACCCTCTCAGGGAAGACCTGTGAGTGCTCCTTATATATTGATTTTTGTTATATATATATATATATATATATATATGTATTAACAATGCAAAACTTTGATGCCAATTGAAATATGTGTAGAGCTGGCTTGTTAACGAGTACTGATAGGCGAAGAGGTGAGGCCCTGCTATCCGCCCAGTGGCTGTGAGAGGCTCTACCTTGACCTGGGCCGTGTAGGCCTGTAGCCACCACGTGACCTGGCCCGTGTAGGCCTGTAGCCACCACGTGACGTAGCAGGGTGTTGACCTGTCGGTTGCGGAAAAAGACAATCCTTGTGGCTGTGACATCTGAGGCCCTACCTAAGACCCTGCAGAAGAGTATGAGTAGCTGGCCTCAGTTCTTCTTACCCTTGGCAGGGCTTGTTTCTTGTGGATGAGTGTGAACATAACCGTACATGCAAAGTGGATAGAACCAGAGAGAAAAAGACTGGAAAAGGCATTTGACGAAACTACCAGTTGTGATGTGAATCGAAGAATAGAATGAAAATATAGTGACTAACAGTAGGGAAAATGTGTGCTCTTAAGAGAGGAATCTGAAAAGGAGCTTTTGATTGTGGTTTAAACTTAAAGATGATATGTGTTGTACAATAAATACCCTTTGATAATTTACTTGATAGGCTTGGGGTCGTACATTTGTCTGTGTTATAAGATGCCTATAGGTGTAACTTTTAGACAGAAAACAGATAGCGTGACCATCAATCCTGATGGACTTCTTGAAATGTAAAGTAACATAGTGAAACGTATGTAATATTAAATAGCGTAACGTATGATTGAATGTGTATGGAGAACCTTGCGAAGGTCAAGCATGCAGAGACAAGTCCCTATTGGCTGTTAAGGATTTGAATTGTATTCGTTTGGTCGTAATGAAGGCCGAGTGATGCCTCGATGCTCGATATGAAACAAGTGGGAACTCTAGTTTACCTTATCTTCATTAGATTTACTAATGCTTTAATCTGCGTTGCATTGTATAAAATGACGTAGACGTGATCATTAAGCGATGGTATGAGTCATGGTATAGTAATCTAGAACTCAATGTACTGTAATGCCCCTAATGGGTCGTCACATAATAAATAGTATACTCTGTAATGAATACAATCTGGAAAGCAGTCACTATATGTACGTAAGCGTATTGAGGACCTGACGATGGTCCGATGTAATGTCTAAATATGCACAACGTTTAAACGTAAAAGGCAGCGTGAGGCCCAATATACGTCTTTAACTGAAAATATATATGGAAACAAACACCTGAAACAATTGCTGGAGGAACACCGCTGATCTTGGTTCCTTCTTTAAGATTACTACTAAATTGATATGGCACCTAGTGTATGTGGTATAATAGAATCACAAAGTGTTTGACAAGTTGGGGAAATATATGTATTTGGGTATCATCCTTGTACTGTTATATCTAATTATCTAGTAGACCCTTAGCCCGTAAGTGATTGAAGTATTGAAAGCATGGATTAGCCTTGTATGATAGAGGTCTGACATACTATTTGTATCACTGCCAGGGGTATATAAACTCACACTCAAAACGAAAGCTATAAACGAAGCGGGAAATAATCCGCTAGGGCACCTGATCTTAGTATCGGGTCTGAAATATAGTGCCTATGTGTGACGGGGTCTGCAGGCGCCGTTCCCAAACTCTCTGTTACCTGTGTTTTGTGTGTGTGTGTGTGTGTTTGTGTGCTGGCTGACTAGCTAGTGCTGCAATGTGGTGAAATAATTACTCTAGGTTGGTGACAGGTGAGGCCCAGCTAGGTGCCAAGAGGCTTGAGAGGCTCTATCTATGCCTTGGCACGAGGGGATAAAGTGGCCACTGAACGTTGTGGCGGGGTGTCTGCCTCTCAGTGACAGTTAAACATTAAATAGAATGGGAGTGACAGGTGAGGCCCTATCTATGCCACAATGCGAGGCGACTAACTATGATTTGGCCCGAGGGGCGTAGTACCTCCGAGTATGAGGATGGGTGTTGGCCTTGCGGGACCACTAACCTAAGCCAGGGGGAATAACAACTAGTTGACACCTCGGAAACTGATAGCCAGCCACAGCTAACTAAGTGAGAGAGGACATACCATGGGACGAAAACAAGGGAGGGGTAATGAGTTAGAATCGTAAGGCCAAACGTAACTGGAGTTCCCTTTGAGCATGTTGGGGTCCAGATCGTCAGACTGTATGGAGTACATATGAAATAGAATGCATGTATGTATGTATGTATGTGTGTGTATAGCCCTCGGGCTCACAAGTGCCAGATCATGGCCTGGTTTTTAATGTTTTTAAGTAGAGTATACGTTATTGTTGAAAAATGTTTATATTTTTTTGTAATTTTTTTTTTTTTTTAAACACACATCCCTGTTTTCACAACGGGGAGAGACACGTGATCTGAGGATCTTGTGTAATCATGTTTAAGCCACGGCCTGCTGAGCATCATGGGGAATGACCACATGTATCTGCAGTACAAACCAAACCATCATTATTCATAATATATGTAGTGGTGTAGATGTATGTCTGGTCAGATAGCTAACTCGCAGAGATACTGATTGTTCATATTTGCAGTATTGTGAAGGCCACAGCCCATATTGTTATGCTGTGGTTGACCTGTATTTTATTGGACAAAATAAAACCAGTAGCAGTTCTTGGTTACTTTTTTTTTTTTGGAATGTAACACTAATTAATGAACCTTTCCATGTAAGTAACAGATCTAAACAGGATTTGTGGCAGCATCAACTAAAATGTAAAAGCAACGGAACTCCCTAAAATACCATTGCAGAATTTAGGATTGCGTTTTTTTAAAAAACCTGCTTGTTTATAAATTATAAACGTAATTTTCTCATAGATGGCAGTGTAAGTGTATGTAACTTATATAGGCTTAAACACTGATTTAGCTGAACAATATGCTTGGTGTGAATAGCCCTATGGGCTTTCATGTACAAATTACTGTGTTGAGGGGGCGGGGCCGGGCCGCCGGGCCGGCTGGCAGCCATGAACCTTAGCTCCTGATCCGAGCACGGGAAAAACGCACTAAAAAGGTGTGCTGAACACCCCAAAGTGGACATCTCCGCGGTACCGGAGCAGAGCAAAACCCTAGCATCAGAAAGACACCCAATAACCACCAACAGCAAGATGGAAGGTGGGTGCTGATGTCTCCGGCCTACACACTATATGGAGCCTCAAGCGGCAACTGAGCAGGGCGGTCAACGCGAAGGGGCCCTGACTTAACACGGCCGGTGCCTGCCGGCGGTGCGGCCCCGCTCCCCCCCCTCATGGTCGGCGGGGGTAATCCTGACCTCATGGCGGCGGCCCACATGGCGACGGGAGTCCCCGGGCTGGTGTTGTGCCGACCGCCTACACTGGCAAAGGCTGCAGGTGGAACAGCCTGTCAGAAGACTGGTCCAAACAGACATGGGGACAGCCACAGCGGTGGATATATGCACACGGCTGTTTTAAACCCCTTTCATTAAACACCCGACGGCTCTGAGAAGGGACACAGTGGAAAATACTCACCTAACATGGGGACCGCCTTGGACAGAGCGTGTAGCCTTCGGCGCTACCGACCTCCGGATGGATTCTCCGGCAACCAGCCCGCAAGAGGAGTAGGTGCCCGGGCCTCCGAGATCCCGGAGGGACTTGTCCCTGGCGCTGTGAGCCCTGTGGACCAGGTGGGGGCGGGCCTCCCGGCGGACCGGTGGCCGAGACTGACGTGCACCACCCCCAAGAGTGTGGCCAGCGCCAGGAGAGACATGGGGGCACACGCTCCATGGAGACTTGAGAGGTTTTGGGGAGGTGCAGGAGGCAGACGGTTCGCAGACTCTAGGTGTGGGGGTCATGCGGACTAGACCTGCTTCTGAGTGCCCACAGAGCCAAGGAGAGTCCAACTGGCGGGCTGAGACCTGCCTGGGGGAGAGAGCTGGAGACCCGTGGACTGAGGGACATATCGCTGCTGTGCCATAGTCGGCCCTCGACCGACTAATATAAAACCCTGTGTGCTATAATTCG